CTCCTCTGCCCACAGCCACTTTTTTTTTTAAATCTTTGCACCCGTTGTCCAAAATCTCATTTCTTTACTGGACTTCCTCTCTCCTGTTCCCACCTCTTCTTCTGTCTCCCCATCCAGACCAGATAAGAGCTCCCATCTGATCCCTCCTGCACCCATGAAGATGTCACTGATATTGGTTTAGTGAAGGATGGCACATCATGAAAACTGGAGCAAAGACAAACATGTTCAGCATGGAACTGAGGTGAAATGGAGGAGAAAAACCTGGACTTCTCCTCTTGAGACCAGTTTTCCCTACCTCTAATAGCTGAGGAGTCACAGGCAATCGTATTAACAGCCCATGTAGCTGGGAGAGGCTGAATCCAGACCTACTTTTATTCAAAGTATCCGAGGTGCTATTTTCTGTTTTGTGAGTCTGGAAATGGCTTGGTGATGTCTTCCAACTTCCTGAAGCTTCTGACCTGCCCACATCCACCCGTCCTGGCAATGTGCATGACAGAAAGAGTTCAGAAGGGGTCTTTCCCAAGAGCAGGACTCACCTCCTCTGTTTGCAGGATCCATAAGGCAGCCCCGTTAACATCAGCATGTAAATTCTTTATTCCACATTGGCAGTGCCTTCAACAACCCATCTCGGTCTGCAAACCTGTCTAAGATTACTAAAAACTTCCCTCTCTGCTGACAATAGCTGCTGCAGACCAACCTCATCCCACAGCAGTGGTCTGGGGTGATGGAGAAGCTGGCACCAAAAGATTTGCCTTGTTTGCTCATATGCCAGCGTTGCCGCAGTACCTGCTGCTCCTTGGGTGAACGTAGGACGTTCTCAGGTGAATCCAGACCTGTCTTCCTACTATCAACAAATCTTTCTCAGATCATCATAGTGTTTGCAAATATCTCTCTGTAGTTCAGTATTCAGCATATAGGCACAGTTGCTTCCACTTAGTTGCATGATCCATACATATTTATACGCCTCTTTTTCTAGGCACATTTAAACAGGGTAAGTGCTGGCACAGAAGCTCCGAATTAGGACTGCAGTTATGCAGAATGGACATTTATTGCCCTCCCAAAATGCAGCAGCAGAGGAGTAAGCAGAAACAATCTGAACAACCCTGAATGTTCAAATATCTTAGTAGTAACTCCAGGTCTGCTCTCTCAAAAGCAATATTAGGCTGGGAGAGAAATGATACCTTAATGCACGACTGTCAGGGTGGAGTGAGATCAGCTTTGGCAGCTGCTGTCTGCACAGGCTCTGGTATGTGATTTTTTTTTTTTTTTGGAGTGCATTGTTTAGCCAGGGATATGCATTGAATGTCCTCTTACAGCAGAGATGAGAATAAAGGGAAGTTAAAATAAATCCTTTCATCCTCTTTCCAATTTCCCTCTTACGCAGCTACGATACAGCATCCTGGTGTGCCTCAGCTGATGGAAAAAGGAATTAATCTGGTTATTCAAAGATATAGAAGTTTATAACACTGGTAGGTTTTCTGCTGGGTTTTGTCCTTTTTCCTCCTCTTCGGCAAGCATAGCCACCGTTTCTTCTCTGGAGCACCTGCCTCAGCGTAGACCTCTGCCATGCCTTGGACCAGCATGTCCTGCTAGAAGAGACTTTGCCATCAGCACGGGAACAGCAGAGCAATGTGCAGCCACAAATCCCTTTGTCCAGCACCATGTCCCTGCTAATGGCCTGAGCACAGGCCAAGGAAAGAGCGTTGGCATGGGGAAAGCACAGCGTGATGTGGCTTCTTCTATTTAAATGCTTTGGTGGGAAGAGTCATAATTTTGGCATTAACAGTCCCTTGATTTCTAGATTTTGGTTATGTGCTGCATGAGATAGCACTTTGTTTTGTTTGAAAACTTATGCAGCCTGGTTTTTGTGCTATGTGGAGCAGTGAATAAATTATTTTCTACTTTCCTTATTCGTGCAATATTGTGCTCATTTATAACAGCTCCAGTTCTCTCTTTTCAAAGCTGGGAGTGAGGGATGGGATTTAATATCGCCTCATGAAAAGTTCAATGCTTCTTTCTGTTTCTTCATCCTTGTCTTTAGCTTTTCTAGTTCTCCTAATGCCTTTTGAGATGGGCACTGTTTTGCACTCAAGATGGTGCAGATGTGTCAAAGATTTACAGAAAATCATTATGATATTTTCTTTTTTTTAATCGATTTCAAGCAATTCACAAGAATATTTTTGACTTCTAGACGGCTACTTAGCATTGAGTGGGGGTTGCTGGGGCCCGTTCGTGAAGAGAGGCCATGTTTTGGCGGATGAGGAAGCTGGTTTGTTCCTCTGCACGTACGAGCACTGAATTTCATCTGCCGCCGTATACCCTAGGCACCGGTGTCAGCAGATCCTCCTGCTGCTCTGGGAGGCAGTTTGGGGATTTTTTTCCCCACAAAAATGTTGCATTTTTAGGAAAGCAGGACACCTCACTAGGGTTTTTTTTTGCAGCCACCCCATCTGATGGGGTGGGTGGGGCCAGGTGAGGGAGGGTGG